TAACTCAAATAAAGCAACTTAATTATATTCTGGTTGGTCTTCCGTATTTTATAATTACAGCTCGATTATAAGCACAAAATTACATTTCTTAATTACTGGGTATCTTCTGATTAGTCAAAATGATACAATTTACAACACACAAAAAAAAGATCTATCTCATAAGGACACTTATGAAAGCCGATCTGACTTTTAACTAATTTTATAATATTTTAACAACTTAAATGTAAAATCTATTATAATTAATGAAATAACAAATAATTGTATTAAAAATTCATTTTTCATCGAAAAATTTTTTTGCTTTCAGAAAATATTGTCCATATTCATAAAAACAACTAAAAGCAAATAAAAGCATTTGAAATTAAATAATATCTTTGTTTTATTGAGTTTTGTATGTTACAATTCAGAGCTGATTTTCAGGTACTGCGTATCCAATTAAAAACAAAAAAAAAACATGATTTGCATTCCTCAAAGCCCTGTGCTTTTAATTATTGTAATCACTAAAACCAATGCGATCAATTTCTAGCGTTTTCATAAAATTAGTTATGGGGGTAATAAATATTTTAAAAAATATTCCTACCATGACTTTCATAAAAAAAAACATATTTATAATAATTTCGATCATCTGTGAATAGTTCCTGAAAGTTTCATTAACATCCGATAATTATTTCTATTTTTGCACGATTTTTCAAATTAATGTGTCATACCAAAAAACGTGCTAAAATTGTCTATGTTATTTACTAGTTCCACTGATACAAATAGAAAAAAGGTTTTTTAATCAAAATTTAGAATGTTCTAAAAGAAGGAAATTTTTTAAAATAATTAAAAAAAAAACTTTGGTCTTTCCTCTTAATAATAACATAAGCATTTAGACAATAAAATTTTGTTTTTCGGCAAGGTTGGCGTCTTTTTCATCAAGCTATGCTCTTTTTTTAGCGATTTCGTGGAGGTACCTATGTAAATAATAATAACTCCTCATCCCAGAAATTCAGACAAAAGTAATCTCTTACCAAAGAAAATCATTTGCAATGCATATTTACGGAAAATATGAACTTTAGATTAAGAGTAAAAAGGGTGAAATAATATTCAAATTTATTAATCTTGAAAATATTTTAAAAAATTAAGAAAAAAATGTAGATCCAAGATTTTAACATTTCCCAGTCTACATGGTCATAATATTTTTCTTAGGGGATTTAAGTTTTCTGGTATTCATACAAAGCATAAATAAAATTACAGCTGAAAGATTTATCAAGTAATATGTAAAAAACTTGTACATTATCAACTGGATTATCCACTTGATCATTTGATTTGGCTTTCACAAGTACACATTCAAGATATCAGAACAATATGATCTTTTCAACAGTTTCAAAAATGTCTTAATGATATTACTTGAGAAACCTATAAAGCTCCTACATAAAATTTAGCAAAACCAAGGAAATTTGGACTGATAAAAAAAAAAAGAAAGAAAAACTTTAACTGTCACATGAACGATGATGATCTTGAAATATTTCAACAGGAGAAAAGATAAGTTTTTAATTCATACTCCAACAATGTAATATCTTATCTATTCAAATAGGAATGTCAGTACATTTCAATTCGATAATTACTCCATTTTTAATACTGAGGATGACCTACTTCTACAATATAAAAATTTACTGTAGGCATTTCTGATTCTATATTTACTAATAATTTAAAGAAATTTTAATTTTAAATAAAAAGCCAAGATATCACAAAAGCAATTCCAGAAAATAATGAATACTTTGTATCTGATTACAAGAAAAATGTACAGTTTAATTGGAAATAGTTTGGACACTAGTTTTTATACATATTTTATTATGGAGCAATTTTTCCTCTACTGAATAAGAATAAAATGTAACAAGAAAAAAGTAGTACTTACATACAATATTTAAAATTTTATTTTACATATAGTACTACTTTATTTCAAAATTTGAATTTGTAGTCAAATAGACTGTAACAAAAGAGACATTGGATAGCATAGTAAAAATAGATTATTTAGTTGTGTGTGTGTGTGTGTGTGTGTGTGTGTGTGTGTGTACACACACAGTTGTTAATTGGTTAGAAAAGTCACGACTTAGGTTGAAAAACGACTTAAGTCAAAATAACCACACTATAACCGCAATTGCATATTACAGTATTTATATGTATGTACAGTATTCTGAATAAAATAATTAATTTCCATCTTATCTTCCAGTGATATAGCCCTACACTTAGCATTAGCAATTTTCCTTGGAGCCATGGGCAAAAATGTATTCTAAATCACAACTGAAATGTAATTAAAAGAACGTCAATGGCAGAGCACAGATGTAAACCAGCCTGAATAATAATATAATATTTAAGTAAAACAGATGTATCTTCGAAAATGACTTAAACTGAGGCATCACTGTATGTATGTATATATGTATATATATTTCAATCATCCATGTTTGATAAAAGTTAGGTAAAAATTTTGAATATGTCTCAAATTTTGTCTAACATTTTTAACACATTTTTCGGACAATACGAAATATTGCTTTTTTTTATAGCCTGCTTTCTAGCCATTAAATTTGAATTCATAGCTACATAACTGCTTTAGCTTTTACATTAGTAATAGTCTCTTACAATTATAAGCCAAAGAAAATTGCTAACATCTAAATAAAAACTAAACTCTAGTTAGTCAATGACTTTTTCTGAATTTGATACAATTGAACAATGTTTCACAGATTATTTTAATGTTTGCTCTTCATAATTTGATAACAATAATTGATCAGGTTTATTATGAAAAGAAATTTAGAATTTAAAATTGATTACTATAATTGAAGAGAACATTCCACTGGAATGAGAGGCTCCTTTTTAATAAAGATAGCACAGATGGGGAATGTATGGGTCAACAGATTTGAGACAGCTCATCATGCATGATAGAAGACTTTAACTGGTTGGTTTTCTTTCTGTCTCCCTAACAGATCCACCACATTCATCATTCATTAGTTGTAAGACATAGGCCATATCAGATATTCATGAATTATGAAGTGCATGAGGTGAAAATGTTCTTACAATCATGAAAATCCATACAAACTGGTCCCCAGACAAAGTATAGTTTGAATAAGTGGAATGATTAGGTACCTAGTTTTCTATAATAAATCTCAATATTCTAAAGACAAGAAGCACTTTACAAAATTATTATGTTTAGGCAAGTATTTTGAATATTTAGCAGGCACTATTATTGATGATGTAATGCAGTAATATTATGATGCAATGTGGTAATATAATATTTCTATAAGAGAGACAAGAAAAGAAAAAGAAAAGTTTAAATAGAAGTTTATAGAACTGGTTAAATCTTGTACTCAGACAGGTCTTTAAAAAACAATTTTCTGAAGAGTTTAAAAAAAATTTATAAAAATAAATCAATCATTTTCTTTCTAAAAGCAGAATGACAGGAAAAAGCTCATGACAAATGAAAAACAAGGCATGAGATTTTAAAAAACAAATCTGTCATCTGGAAATATGGCCATAGACATCAGCTAAAAACTCACATCACTCATCCATCTTAGAAAACTTAATTTACAATCTTAAATTTCAGCTCTTAAAAGATTGTGGTAACAATTTTTAAAAATGAACATGATGCACTTATATAGAAATGTCAAGCATTTTTTTTCCATTCAAAATCTGGTACAGATCTTTAACTTGATTTTAAAATTCAACTTTAAATATTTTATATTTTCCATAAAATCCAAATCCTAAGTTCAAATGCATGCAACATAAATTACAATTTTCATTTAAAGACAGAAGAAAAGAATTCAACAGAAATTGAACAAATTTTATTTACATTATCTTTTGGATAAAATAATAAGAAAAAATGTGAATAATGACTGTATTTTTTTTTTTTGTTATAACTACAGTATTAAAAAAAAAAAAAAAAAAACTATAGTAATTATTACAAAAAAATAAGTTAGGATGAACCATAATTCTAAAATTTCAGTAAAATGAAAACCAAAAATATTTTAATAACTTAGGAGTTAAAAAAAAATTTTTGACATTTAGCAGATCAATTTTTTTGCATATATCAAGAGGAAGTTTAAAAAATGAAAATGTCACAATGACATTTGTAAAATGTTGTACTCTTTAAAATATAAAGTTTCAAAGAGTACAGTTTTTATACAGTATAGGATAATCTAGACATGGAACATGGTTTCTTGCTAATTTCTATGTACATAATAATGTCAAGACAAATCTTAAACACATTTCAGGCAAAGGCAAAATTATACTGACAATGACGCACGCACATAAGTACAACAGTCTTATTTAGTCACACGTTTCTTAGATTATTTTAATTGTTCTGGCCAGATAAATTTCTTCTATTTGCAAAGATTGAAATAAGTCTGCAAAATAATAAATTCAAATGCAGAATTTCAAGAAGATTGAAATCTACACAATTTGTATAAACACCAAACAAGACCATCTTACCATTTATAATGCTGTTGCCTGAAAAATTTGTAGCAGTGTTATGGATCTAGATGGAAGTGACTTTATTCAAATAGTAATTATGAAAAAAATCAGCTTTGTATGATATGGTAAACTAAAATTCATTGCACATTGACATGAAAAATATTGAAAACCAACTCAATGTTAAAACACTTAACCTTTAGTACTCTGTAGGTGACTATTTTCACTAAAAAAATGTTAGTCCTACCAATGCAAGTTGAATTTGAATTTCTTGGTCGTGTAGCCATATCCTTCTGTGGCAACACCTAAAAAATCTTGAGTGAAATTGAGAGCCAGACTACTGCAATTTCAAATATATTTTGAGGGGATTCCATATACAGTAAAAGGGGAAGCAATATTTATAAATGATGCAGAGTGCTAAATGTTAAATTGAGCAGTAAATAAAAGCTCTGGGGCAAATTACTTTTGTTATTTTTTGTGTTATTGCAAAGCACATAGCTTTAAACAAAGCGGATGCAATAAATAAAAAAAAAAGATGAAAAAAATGCAAATTGATTACATACCTGCTTTGAAGTAGAAGTCTTAAATTCGGTATCATTGCCAAATGTTGCCCAACGTTTATGTACAACAGGTGTTTCAGGTTTGACAGCCAAACCTGAAGAGGTTTCTTCTTCTCCAAGACCTACAAGAGCAGGTTCACTGCCACGCCGAACTGTTAACCCTGGCCCTAGAAATAAAAACAAAAAAAAAACACCACATTAAATTTAAACAAAAAAAAAATGGGGTGGCGTATTCAAATTAAAGAATTCTAATCTAAAAATAGAATAAAATAATAATTATTTTATGGTATCAGAATTTCTGTTTATTTCAAAGTCTCTTTTATGAAAAAAAATGCTTCACTTACTATTCATGCATATTGCAAATTTAAAATATTAGGGAAATAACAAAAAGCTAAATTTTCAATAACATAAAAAAAAAAAAAAAAAAAAAAAAAAATCAAATAAATTGTTTCTGTCTAAATTTCTGGGATGAGGAGTTATTTACATTTTGACTTATCTTCATCGTTGTTGTTATCACAACATTTTGGCCATCCTTTTTCAGGTCTGTCAAGCTCGGTAACTTTCAGGTAATTTCAAACTGAAACATTTATTTAATCTATGTAGATTGTTCTCATTCCACCGTCCATATTTAGAGATATATTAGCTCATTCTTCTCAGACTGCTTCCACTAGTGGATTAAAGAACTAGTTCATAAAATTGGTGATGTAGTAATTGTGATTGTTATTATCACAATGTTTCAACCGTTGTGCCTTTCAGTCTTAATCAGATACCTCAGCTATGAAAAGTGTTTTAATGATAACTTGGATTTTTCTTTTGTGTATTTAGTGAAATTTAAAAGCATTATACTAAACGTTTAGTCAAAAAAGAAATAAAATTGGATATGGTTTGAATGATTTTATAAAGGAACCAATGAATCAATATTGATTTAACCAAGTTAACAAAGCTTCAAGAATATCTAAAGCAGATTAAACTCTTATAGTAGTTCATTCTAATGTCCTTGTCATTGTTGTTTTTTTTTTGTTTTTTTTTAAATCACAATGTCTTAGCCATTGCACCTTTTGGCTGTCCCAAGGTATTTGGCATATTTTGTGGGCTTTTGGAACCATTTCCTACACATGTCTGTGGGAGGAGAAATGAACGCTCCCACAAAACAATGGTTCAAAATCCAACAGTCACCCAGGGAAACTTAATGGTTAGAGCAGTTGAATTGTTAAGACAGAAATCAAACATGAACCAATATACAATGGTGAGAAACAGTGTCTAAAAGAATAGAGAGTAAAACGAAAGGATCAAACACATGACCAGTTTGAAAAGCCAGTGTGTACTGTACTAGAAGTAATAAAAATTGTAAGATTATTAATTGCTAATTAACAATTGTTATTATTTAGTTCAGTAAATAGAGAACTTTAGGATAACTCATGATAAATCAGGATGAGAAGTGAAATACACATAACACAATATAGTATTTAAAGAGCAGACAAGATTGTTGGCAACAGGAAAAAGAAATTCATGTGGAACAAACATTTATATTCTTCTATCTTGTTATATCAAATTTATATTTGTTTATATTTATTCACTAGGATAAAAAATATGTCTTTCTTTTTCAGTGTTGAAATGATAATCAAATTCAGACTTGTAAATTTTCTTTAATACCAGCACTTTTAATAATAAATTATCTATATTTCTATTAGTAAAAACAAAAGGTGTAGATGAATGTTTTTTTGTTTTTCTTTTAAGATCTTAAAACGGTTGCATAAAGTTCATAAAAGCTTTTTAATGGATCATCTCTGGAGTTATGTGTAAAACTTTCATAGATAAATACAGAGAGAGAAAGTAAAATAGAAAATTAAAGCTCACCTGAAGGAACATCGTCCAAAGTAACAATGACATCATTGTCAGAGAGGTTGGAGCTTTTGAAATCTCCATTGCTAGCACCACTAGGTCCATTATTACTTTGGAAGATGTCAGGACTAGAAGTTCCTACAGAACTAGCACTGGCTCCATCACCATTGTTGTGAAGATGGTTTGCAGGCTGTTCTTCATAAATGGCAGTCAACTACAAGAGAAAAAAAACAAATAGTATCATTTATATATATGTGTATGTGTGTGTGTGTGTGTGTATGTGTGTGTGTGTGTGTGTGTGCATTTGTAGGACACATGCAAAACAAAAGCGGAAATGAGGAGGAAGTAGAAAAGCCATGAAGAATGTGTTTCCCTAAAATCTGTTGACCTCAGGTCAGAATGAAAGATAAAATTGTGTAAGGGAAATGTGTTGAGATTTTTAAGGATAAGAGGGACTATAAATTAAATTACCTTATCAGATCCAATGACCAGCTTTTTATATGTGTGTGTGTGTGTGTATAAAAATGGTGTTAAGCCAATGGTCAGTTGTGACTATAGTTTCATAGACATCCTGTGTGCAATCATCAGGTCAGGCTATCAACAAAGGTCTTTGGTTTTGTGGGTGAATATATTCCCTTTCTTTGGTTAACACAATCTTACTATGGACAATTCACAAAAACATAATGCAAGCCATACTCACCTAGGGAGAATATATGCTACACACACACACATTTCATGCTTTCACAATCATCAGACTGTCTTATTGTTACAGGGTCACAGCATACTGATTTCTATACCCCTACTGCTTATATCTACATACCTCCCCAATATTGAGCATAATAAATAATGGAAATTTTAAATCTGTGTGTTTGTACATTAAATCTTGCTATTGGTTCAACAAAATATTACAAAAATTATTAGACATTGATTTTCATGAGCATAGGTGAAGAATGAGGCATGTAACTGATGTTAATATTGGATGGTGCTGAGATTTGTAGACATATTAGAATATTGATTCTATCTAAATTAACACAGTTGATAAGAGATATTGATTTATATAGAGATTGTACTTAGGTAATGCAATGAAAGAAATGGTATATCAACTCCTTATGGGTCATTTAATGCCAAAATTTTATTTTCTTGTGAGCTTTGGTAATTTTTTTTTTTTAACTATGAAAATATATTGCTGGTAATTTTTGGTAATGTATTTTTATATTTTCATGTTTTGACCCCAGTCTATATGGGGGGGGGGGTTTAGCACATAGCTGGGACCCAATTGAGAAAGAGTAGCTTCTCTGCTACTTAAAATTTAATGAATGAAAAAAAAATAAAATAAAGATTTGGTTTCTTCCCCATTCTCTTATTAAGGTGGTGAAAGACAAAGTAGAAAAATCTTTTAGAATTGATGAAGAATCATTTCCTGGTAACTAAAAATTTGTACAAATTCTTCAACAAAAACACCTTAAAAATAAGTTCCTGTTACCTGGATAATGTAATCTAACAAGGACAATTGAAAAGTGCTCTCTACAAATGTTATAAAATACTTGACACCTAATGTAGTTTATCAAGCAAACAATAGAAACATTCCAAACATTTACTACATTGGGGGAATTGAAGGATCATAAAATAATAAGTTCTTGTTTGATAGAGATCATGTGAGTAAAACCATGCTATCTAAATATAAGAGTTAAAGAAAAAATTAAGATAGGAGTGACCCAGAGGTCAGGTAGAGTATTTTAAGAAGGGCATACATATGTAGTGTAGGGTTTGGACAACAAAATAGGCTCCTTAGCAAAATTATTGAATTACTTGCAATTTTACATTTTTTTAATGTATTTTTTTGTGCATTTACTCATATATCACACCCATTAACTCATAGCTGGGTAGTGTAGAAGTGGGTATTTGCACATGTGAATATAATGGACCTGATTGGAACTCTGATCTTCGATTTCTAATTCCAAGCCATTATCCATTACACCACCTGCACACCCAAGCTTACAGCACCTGATATTCCCAAGCAGTCACTTATCTAGGTACTGACCAGGCTCAATGTTGCTTAAATTTGGTGATTGTATGAGAATCCATGTTTCAATGTGATATTGAAATAAGCCTAGCGTATTATCGATGTATATAGTTAATAAATACTATTAAATAGGAACATATAAGCATATTTTTTTTAAATAGTTATAAAATTAGAGAGAAAAATATTATTGAAAAATAAATTCAAACTTAATTTTACAAGCCATGTTTATAAGTTTATATTTAATATTTTGGTATACAGATATGTCTGTTAGAGTTTATTTAGCAAATTCTTAAAAATGGATATATTTATTAGTAAACACATTGAAATTTTAGCTTTTCAGATAGTAGACCCAGCTCTATATAAATCATGATAGTCAAAAATACAATATATACACATTTGTCATAATTCTTTACTAGTCAAAATTTTCAATTAAAACAAATGTTTAAAAATAATGAACATTCATTTACCAATTTAGTTTAGAAATCCTACTCTTCGCCTAATCATAAGTTTTATTACTTCAAACAATAAAGGTCAGCTATATATTAAATTAGTTCCATAATTATATCAGACAAAAGTCTTTAAAACTAATAGCTAAAAAAAAAAAAAAAAATGTAAGTATTCTTAGCATTAATGATTTTAAAATATTTCAATATATAATTTTTTTTCTATTTTAAAAAACTGTCATCAGAAGGAAAAGCTTAAAGCTTTGGAAAAAAAAATTATCCAATATAATTTTTATTCTTCTGAGCAATTTATAGGACGAGCCTAAAAGAGAGCAAATTACAAAAAATGTGTTAAATACACGAAATTCACTCTGTAAAAATGATGCAAGCGTTTTTAAAAATATTTCCTGCATTCAAGGGAGATAACTAAGTACGCAAACTGAAGTATTTATGTATTATATTGATTCAATCCACTGATGAAGGGGAATTCACTTTTCATATTCATACAACACCCAAGAAATTTTAGCTGAATTTTTTTTTATAAGACATTAAATTCAATAGGATATTATTCTGTATAATTATAAACTAATTTATTGACAATCTTAAATACACAAACTTAGTTTTTATATCAAATCTTTATATTAAAATTATACTATTTTATACTTTTAGTAGTTTTTAAGCATTATACAATATTCATTTTCAACTTATTCAACTCTAGAAGATATTTAGCATGCAGCTCTCTTTGTCATGGAGTAGCAAAATGACAATCAAAAAGTTTCAGAATCAACCAAGTGTAAAGTTAGAGGAATTTTAAAACAAAAATTTTACAGCTTAAAATCAATTTCAATGTTTAAAACTTAAATTTCTGGATACTCAGTTTAGTACTTAAACAATTTAAAAGATTCAATGCTGTAATATATTGAATATTGAAAATACTTATGAGAAGCACATTTTCTGAGAAAATGAATATAAAAAATACTTAAGTGTGGTTTATAAAGCTATCTTTCCTTCTGTTCAAAGTAAATGGTTTCTCTAAAATTTTGAGATGAGGAATCAATGATTACTTAAAAAAAAAAAAAAAAGAATCACTTTCTTTTTCTAACATTTGTTATTTTAATTTTTAACTTTCTCCAAGTGGACATGGTATCTTTTTTGTTTTTCTTATAACTCAGTCAAGTTCTTTTTGCTGACCCAATTGATCCTATTAAATGATGACCTTAGTATGTTGTACAGGTTAAGAAATGTGAATAATGCAAGTGTTGCTCCAGTGTAAATGCTTTTACAACTTCAAAAGAAATGAAAACAGTAATTTGGAGGTCAACCACAAAAATGTTTAAACCCAAGCAACTTACCTGCTCTCTATCATCTACTACGTCATTAAGATGGTCATCAGGATCAAGAATTCCACCATCGCTACAAGTCTTAAGACTTTGCACAGTCACCCAACTGTCATTGGACTGAAACAAGAAAAGAAATAAGTTAAGAGAAAGATTCATAAACATCAAGGAGTGCAGAGAATAAGGGTTGGCTGAAACAACAACAAAAAATAAACAAATAAAAATAAGAGAAAAACTTGCTAAATATTTTATGCATTTAAATGGCAACTTCAAAAGCCAACTTTTGACAAACATACAACTTATTTTTATTAAAAAAAAAAAAAAAATCTTAAAACTTTGAGTGAAACCAAATTCTTGTTCTTAAAAATTTGTGCCTGTCTAGTAGTTTTTATTTTATACATGAAAATGATATTAGAATTTATAAGTCTGATGAATGGTGTCTGAACTTTAAAATGAAGCATTTTTATTATTCCACAAAATATTAATCTTTGTATCACAATGTTTTGGTCAATGTTCTCCATCCTAAATGTCATATGTTGCATTTGAGTACAGTCATGTATTCACCTCATACCTTATTCAAAATAGTCCATTGATTCAAATTGTAAAAACTCAGGTCCACAAGAAATCTTTTCTACTTGATATATATATATATATATATATATATATATATATATATATATATTTAGAATTCCAACATTCATACATTTAATTTAAAAGAGGGCTCAATACAGAAAAGAGCAATATTATTTATTTCAGGATATTAAAACATGTAAAAATTGCTACACAATTGCAGTCGTATTTCAATGCATACCAATGCTTCTCCTCAGGCGATTGTAAATTACTGGTGAGTGAATGATTAATTTCGTTTTAAAAGCCAAATACATCATCTTTTTTCAAGGGGGGAAAAAAAAGAAAGGTTATAAGGCTTGAGGGCTTTACCCTGATCAACCAATCAAATATGACACACTTTGAAGAAACTTAATTTTTTTCTTTTTCATTTAGTTTCAATCAAATGTAGGTTATATTTGACTGGTTCCAGACTTATAACCTTTTTTCTCTTTGAAAAAAGGGAATGTATTTTGCTTTTAAAACCAAATTAATTGTACAGTCGCTAGTAATTTACAATTGCATTGGTTTGCATCAAAACATGACTGTAATTGTGTAGTGATTTTTACATGTTTTAATATTCTTATATATAATTCATTCATTCATTTTGAATGACTCCAACAGGAAAGCAAATGTTTTGATTGCATATATGCATATATAAAGAAATCTGGGTCTTCCCTCAAAATGTTTGAAGGATCATTTTCAATTTTTCTTGTTTCTGAATGTTTTGCCATTTATGAAATGTTCTAATGATAAAAAACAAATAAAAATCTCTAATTTATAAATCTGGTGATTGTAGAGACCCTTCATCCTAATGATCTTTTTTTCTTCTTGGGTTTCTTTTGTGGAGCAGGTCTCTGAATTGTCATGGGGGAGAATAATACCTTCACTTGCTACCAAAGTAGGACACTTTCAACATAATGTGTCATTTACTCAATCAAGTTGCTGGCTCCAGTGATGGTCCCTTTATGTTCTAGTAGCATATAATGAATGTCATCTTTCATATTCCACCAGACACAAAGCAAAAAAATCTTCTAATTAATTGAATCATGATTTTGGCATTGGCACTGGTTTCTTATTTTGTAATAACCACTGTCAATTTTTTTCTTTTTTTTTTTTTTTCTTGTTGACATGCAAAACCCATATTTCACTATCAGTAACAATGCAATGCAAAAATGAAAGGTTGGCATTTTTGATTAAATGATTGCTATAGGTGGTGGAACATTGTTTTCAAGGAAAAGTATCAAGAAAAACTCAAATTCCCTTTTTGCAAATTTTCTCAAACTCTGAAATTCACTATAAATGAAAAACTTTTAGACAGAAGATGATTATGAAATTTTAAAAGGCATCACGTTTCCCACCTGCCAGATTCCAAGTTCATCAAAGTGTAGACAGCTTAGTGCTCCATATATCCTAAATTACTGGTTCAAGCACTTCCACACCATTTTTAGCACAAAATACATAACACAAGTGTCTGCTGTTAACTGCATCTGACAACAAATTATAACAAGTGGGTAGCACAAGAAATTGTGGAAAAATCAAACAGCAGAAATGTCACTATAGAGATCAGGAAACATAGTAGCCCTACTATTCATGAAAAGACAAAGTCTTTGTCACCTGCTAAAATTTGGGAAAATTAGCCTTGGACATCAAGATCACAGTCATCATTTACAAGTGGAACCAAATTGGGATACATAAACTATCAGGGTATCATGGCTCTCAATAGCAAATAAAATTTTCACAAGAATGCTACTAAAAACCCAATGTGGTTTCAGAGAAAACTGCATTACAAATGCAACAAGGTTTTTGTGAACAGAAATGCTATGAATATAAAAGGACTGTATGTCACTTTGGGTTAACCTGACAAAGGCATTCAATATAAGCAAGTGAAGCCACTTGATAATTTTGAAGAAATAAATTCATTTGCCCACTAAAATTTCTCACCATGATCATCCAACTCTACAACACACAGCTTAGGCAAGTCAGATAAAGTAGTGACATCTATCAATTATGCAGAAACTAGAATCGATAAAGTCAACCTTATTATATAGTACCAAGCTTTGGGTCATATACCAGTGTTATCTATACCTACTGGAGCACTCCCGTTAGCATTACCTCCACATCATCTGGAGTGAATTCATCACTAACAATAAGGTTCTCGATTGTCAGGGTCACTACACTGACAAAAACTCAGCTGTCATATAGATATGCAGTTTCTGCTATAAGCATCTGTTCTTCACATTCTAGAAAACAATATTTTTATGGCAAAATTTTTGCCATTAAAAGAAAAATGCTATTTTCTTTTATACTTTATGATAATCTAACTGATTACATAATACAGACACGACACATGGCCTGCCTTGCAACTGAAATAGTTATGTATTTCTCCCCAATGCCAGGGATCCATATTTGAGCTAAGGTAAAAATTCAAGATTTCAAATGCTGATTTCTTTTAAGCAGATACACAAACCCTCTTCTCATGGAAGATTAACACAGCACTGTTTTTTCTCTTATTTCCTCTCTCAACACCTGGTCTCATGCCATATTAACCTAATATCAGTACAGATGCAAAGATATGAGGATAGGTTAAAAGATTATCATTAAAGATATTGCTTCATAATTTTATTATGCTTTTTTTCTTTTAAATCATTTCACCCCAAGCAAGGTGGGAATGCCACTAGGACGCAGGGAGTTACAGAGAGTGAAGGTGAGAGAAAAGACTGGATATTGGGGTGGGGGTCAAGGAAAGGATAAATGTTGAATGGGGTTGAAGAAGCTAGATGGCAATTGACGTTGCATTTTGAAGATTGTGGTCATAAAGGAAATAAGGAAATGGAAGGAAGTTCCACAGGTGAGAAGTGTGAGAAAAGAAAATGTTGGTGCAGAAGTGGTAGTTATTTAATTAATTCAACAGTAAAAGGGTGGGACCTAGATGGCAATTTAGTAGCACACTAAAACAAATGTAGACTGAGCACCATAAAAAAAAAAAAGCTTGTCAGAGGAATAGCCATGAAAATGTTTGTAGAAAAGACAAGGAAAGCCACGTTGCATCAGTGAGAAAGCAACTGAAGTCGAGATGCCAAGTCAGGATTGATTACATTGCAGATCCTTCTTTGGATTTTATCAAGAATCTCAAGATGAGCAGCAGGAGCACCAGACCAGATCAGACATGGCAACAGTATTCAATGTACAGATGAATAGTAGATTTTTAAATGTGCAAAATGGACTCCGATTAGAAAAACCTTCTGGCACAGTGACCTAACTTTCCTTGCAGTAGATGCAGCTATTGATTCAATGTAGTCATTCCACTTCAAGTCAGTTGAAAATGTGTGGCCAAGAAGGTGCAGTGTTTCTCTCCATGAATCTAGCATCAACCATGCTGATGACAGGCAGTAAAGTTTCTCTATGGTGATTAAATGAGAGCAGTTTCATCTTGGAGGCATTAAAATTTACAAGCCATTTCCTGCCCCAGTTAACTACTGATTGGATGTCCTTTTCAAGAACATCAGCCAGGTTAACTTTATCAGCTCTGACAGATTTGCTATTGAGATAGGAGTAAATGATAGTGTTATCAGCATAGATGCCTACTTGGGAATTGACGAAGATCAGAAACAGTATAAGACCCAAGATAGAGCCATGGGGGACACTGACATTTGTGTAAAAGGATCTGGAAGCGAGCCTGTTCAAAACAACCTTCATTTCATGATTTGATAGGAGCAAATGGATTAAATCAAACAATAAACCTATAATACCTTAGTCCTAAATCTTATGTAGAAGACCAGCATGCCAAACCCTGTCAAATGCCTTTGAAATATCTAGACCCACAGATCAAGTTTCACTGTCATTAACAAGAGCTTGATATACATATTCAGTGATGGCCATTAGCACATCAGCAGTAGACCTGGCAAAATGGAAGCCATATTATTTATCAGAGAGTAGATCACTTCAGCAGTGATTAAAGCCTCAAATACTTTGCTGAAAAGCAGGAGACTAATAGGGCAATAGTTAGAAGGGTCAGAAGGTTCTCAAGAGATCTTAAAAACAAAAACTACAGAAGAGGATTACCAACAAGCAGGAAGCAGCAAGAGAACTGGAGGTAGCACAGGAGCACATTTCTTTAGGATGTCACCTCTGCTTGCCTTATGGGAGTCTCATTTAGAAATAATGTTCAAGATCAGTGAGGCAAATCAGGTGAGGGTACTCCAAATGAGTTGAGTGTTGAGTTGGAAGAGAATTTCTGAACAAAACATTCAACCTTATCTGTTGTAGATGCCAGGACTTTGAATTGATTGAATAGAGGAGGGATTAAGGACTTGCTGTTGTTTAGTACTGCTAATAATCTCTAGAAACAAACTAGCCTATTTGGAGAGTCAATCAGTGGCCATAGAATTTTTGACCATGCAATGTTTAATCGACATTCTAGTATATTAGGAAGTAGGAGTCTGTCTATAGAATCTTACAGGAGATGCTTCAATTGCTTCTTTCCAATATTTAGATTTGACACTTTACAGACA